AAAATACAGAAGACTTGATGTTGCATTTCAGTTACCACTTACTTATTTCCACATAATATATATGCTTTAGCTGATTTTACTTACACTTTAGCTTTCTATGGTAATTGCCTACTTATCCTGTTCTCATCAACTAATCGTGAGTAATTATTACATCTCTAATTGACCAACAATAAATACTGTATCTTCTTTTGCTAATTAAAGGCTTATTTAGGAGAATATTTAATTTGCTGTAGTAATTTTTCCTTCTTGCCCAGCAAGTCAACGTATTTATTATATTGTTATTTATTTATTTTTGTGCTGCTTGTCTGAGGCAGTGCATGCAAAGCTCCCTAAGAAGATTATGTATAACACCTTATATCTGCTATAAAAGGGCTCAGCTGAAGCTTATGTTATTGTTAAATGTCTTGCAAAAGGAATCAGTGACAAAGTTTCAGTTATGATATGGAAAGTGTTCTAGCGCTCAGGAAATACTCAAGAAAATAAAATTATCTTTCCCATGGATAATTTCTTAGGGCTCTTATTTTCAGCTACTCCCAGCTCATAGTCTTTAATGAGATCCCAAAGAGAATGTTGTATTGGTGAAGTTGTTAGAATTCAGGAACACACATAATCACAGGATATGATTCCATGCAGGTGCTTTTATTGAGAGCTCTGGGAATCAGGGGTACAGACCCAAATCTGACTCCAACACGGCTTTCGAGCTGAATGTATTTTATATTCTATCCTTATATAACTTACATATTAATTATTAAACTTATGTTGTTCTATTGTATACACAAACTTTATTCAAGCACAAGTTTCTTGTGATCTTTCTTTGGCCCGTGACCACAGTTTCTTATGATTATTCTTATGATCAAACAGTAATTATATTTAATTCCTAAACAATCATCACATCTAACAATTATATCATTTATCATGTACTAGCTACACAGGTGCAGTCCTAGCAAGGTACAAGGCCTTCATGTACCTAGAGAATTTATTTTTTTCAGGCCTTACTAAGCTTAATTTCCCTTTTAACCATAAAACCCCATGATTTTAAAAGCCTTTTACTATCAAAGTCACAGCTTTTAGTTCATAATGCAAAGGTGACAGTCACCATCAGGCAGAGCTGTCCTCTGGCCTCTCTAATTAAGCTATTTCAGTAATCTTGGAAGCTGGACTGAAGCAGAGGAGGGAACAAGGAGTAGCCTGTGGCTACTCTTCCACCACAGAAGCTCTGAAAGAGCACTGGTGCTGCTGCCATACACAGAAGCAGGAGATGTGTAGAAATCTCTGGGGAGATGCTCTGAAGATGCTCATGGAGGGGAGCCTCCACACCTAAATCAAAGCAGTCTCGGGGAAGTCAGGTGGCAGCCCCAGGTGTACAACTAGAAAATGACACCATTTCACATCTGGTTCCTACTGTTACCACTTCTTGCCAAGGACACAACGCAGATTTGGCATTGCCTAGTCCTCAGATTTAGCAAATCTGTGTGTAGGGATGAGCAAATTGTGTTTAACTTTATTTTAGTGTAATTTAGCTCCATCAGCTACACCACAACTCACAAGTTAAAGGCTTGTGCAAAACCACGCTTCACATAGTGCTGACTCAGAAACTGAGCACTGCAGAGTTTCTTTCTTCAAGTGTTAAAGACCCACAGTTGCTTCAGCTAGAGTTCCTAAAATTCTCCTGTCATTCCCCAGCACAGTACAATTTATGCACGCTCATGGACCACCACAATGTGACCAAGCTCGCTTTGTTGACAAAAAAGAAGAGGTCAGCTGGGACTCCATAAGGCATCATCTTAAAAGGGACTTAAAGAACTACAAAGTAAAGTTCCTCATATTTTCTTCCTAATAAATTATTAAGTTAAAACTAGTTACAACGAGAAGCATTTGCCATGGTCTTATGATATCTGAAGGAAGAAAAAAAATCTTTTTTTAATATACCCAAGGGCTTTTCATTTTTTTTCCCCAGGGAAAGTTATCTTTCCATGAAGAAGACAAGGACATTTTATTCTTACAGAAATCTCTACAAATAAGTGTATTACAATAGAAAATATGGCCAAAGAAATATGCTTGGCATAAAGTTGAAAAGATTTAAACTATGTGGTATGTAGCATAATAAATAAAATGTTTTTCTACTGAACAAAAATGAGCTGTTCTGCCTGACCTTGGTCAAATTAGAGTGGTTTTCATTTGTAATAATCTACTGATGTTGTCTCTGAGAGGCCACACCTTCCATAAGAAGTGACCTTCATTTCCGTCCTAGAAGCCTGGGAAGAGTGGGAAGCCTTTTAGAATGTAGGCATGCTTTTTTCCTGCTATTCTGAGAATTAATCTGTACCTTATTCAAAGGAGCACCAAAAAACCCTAAAACGAAACAAAAATCAAAACTGAAGCAGCACCATTTCACCTCCCATGTGAATGATGCTTCTGTAGTTCAGGTTCTGGAACTGCACAGGGTATTTTTGTCCTGGCATGTCAGTTTTGCTGCATAAGGGCAGCTGTTTATTTCCAGTAATAAGTAATCCTTGGAATCACTCCAAAATGTGGTAGCTGTATCTGACCGTGTGCTTACAGGAGAGGGGACTGTTGTGTCGTGTTTTATGTTTGCCCTTGGTCTTGAACATTTGCTACCAGCTCTGAAAAACTTGGCCTGCTCTTCACTGAAAAGGCAGAAGAGCACAGAGTCTGTTTCTGAAGGAAAACTTAAAAGGAAAATAAATCCAGGATCCTTCTAGCAGCTAGAATGGAATTAACTGGAAGAATTAATAAATGCTAAATATTATATGGAGTTGGAAACAACCAGCTTGAGTATGAAGAAGCTTAAAAAAATATATAAGAAATTTTCTATGACTGGGAGAGAGAACTTTAAAGTGCTTTTTGGCCTAACACAAAATTATTTAATACTAAGTTCTGTAGGATAATAATTGTAATATACAACTATTTCATACTCTTTCAAACTATAAACAATTAAAAAGAGAGCTGTAGAATTAAGCATGAGCCAAAGGAGAAGCAAATCCTCATAAATAAAGCAAAAGTTCCCAATGCAGTGGTTTATAAGAACGAAGTAGACTCAATTCTCCATATCTGGATTTATTTCTTAACTTATTCAAGGAAAAACAAAACCACTGAGGAGCTGCAGCTCAAAAACATGGCTGGTTCTGAAGTTTCTCATTGGAAATAGAGCAGCTTGCTAGCACCCTCCAGGCTATTTTCAGGATATTGCAGAATTTGCTAGTGAATTCAGCACCAAATTAAAGGTGGCTGTGCTGAATCTAAGTCACAGGTTTTATTCAAATTAATCGATTTTTTAAAAGAAATAGTCAGACTCGGTACTCTGGGTTTATTAATTAATAGTGACTTAAGCATCTGCAGTTTTTACACACTCCTAATTATTGGGTTTCGTAAATGTGTAACTTATGAGCTAAATCTACAAAATTGTCCCCTACAACTCAGCTGAAATCTTACTCAGTGTAAAATTTCATGAAAATAAAAGTATGTTTAAGCAGGCAAGATAGCTGAATAAAAACAATACTAATAGTTATGAATAAAAAATAATATAATAACAATATAATCCGAATAAAACCAGATTTCCCCATTTGCTCAGTTGAGAATAGCTGATTTGAACACAAAGCTGGAAAATAACTGTGTAAATAGGTAACTTCAAAAGAGTATTCATAAAAATTTGGATTCAAAATATACAGAAGAGCTTGTTTTCATGCTCAGAATATCAGTACATTGAAAGCTACACAAGATGCACAGGGAGAATTGTAAAGCTGAAGGGAAAAATTGCTGTGATAAGCAAAAAGCAGCTATTTCTCATTTTATATTGAAATTCAAACCATTTGGGGCCTGAGTCCTTAGGCAATTTTCTACATAGGAATTCATTTAACGATGTTATTATTTTCCCCTCAAATTGATGAAATGGAAGACATTATACTTTTAAATACTCCTTTCATATGTGGAAAGGATCAGAGAACATTGAACTCCTCCAGATCTGATTTTCTGCTAGAGCAGAACAGGATTTCTGGCCAGCTCAGTGCTGTACGAAGCATAACCATCCATTCACAGAGTATAGCAGTAATGTCAACATTCCCTCCTCGCTGTAGGCAGCTAAAATGTTTTAGTCTCAGAGAATCATAAAATATTCTGAGTTGGAAGGAACCCATCAGGATCATTGAGTCCAATTCCTGCAGGAGTCACACCCTGTTCCTGAGACCATTGTCCTTTGAACTGTGTCAGACTTGGTGCTGTTATCACTTCCCAGGGGAGCCTCTTCCAGTGCCCAAGCACTCCCTGGGTGAAGAGATTTTTCAAAGTTTCCATACACAACCTAAACCTCTTCTGACTCATCTCCATGCCATTCCTTGAGTTCTGTCACTGGTCACCACAGAGAAGAGATCAGTGCCTGCCTCTCCTCATTGTGAGGAAGTGGTAACTGCAATGAGGTCTCCTCTCTGTCTCCTCCAGGCTGAAACTTGGTCAATTCAAGTTGGCCACCCAGAACTTTGCTCATGAGATCCACTCTACTGGCAAGCAGCAGATGAGTAGGCTCCCTTAGAACCTGTCATACAGGTTTTTTTTAGGAATCTTGTGACCTGGGTGATGCCCCTAGATAATTTCCAGCAAGCTGAAGTCCCCCATCATGAAAAGGGAACTTGGTGTGGAAGTGTCTCTCTGTTCCTCAAAGAATAATTCAGCAGCGTTAGCATCCTCGCTGGAAAGTCTTTAGCACACAGTTCCACATCCTCACTTTTTGTTTGTCCCTTGATTTTTATCCAGGGGCTTTTAACTGTGCTATTTCCAGCTGTGAGCTCCATACATTCTATTCCTTCCATTGCATACAGTTCCAACCCTTCCCCTTTTGGTCTGCCTATCCCTCCTAAAGAACTTGCAACCATCCCACAGGGCACTCCAGTCACAGGACCCTTCCCACCACGTTTTACCTATGCCAGTGATGTCAAATCTCTGATACTGGGCCAAAGTTTCGAGCACATCTTGCTTCTTCCTCATGGTGCTGTTAGTGTAGAAACATTTGATGTATGGTGCTTTGTAGCCCTGTGCAACAGATTGAGGGGTCCCATTAGTGCTCGTTTTCTCAAGTTTGGGCTTATCATTGGCAAGGCAGTACAACCATCCTATTACCTGAGGGTCACTGTAATTAAAAAAAAAAAAATCATATGCATTTAATTGAAAAATATATAATACATTAAGCTGTCTTCACTGTCTAAAACCAAAATACTTACGTGGACTTGAAAATCAGATTTTCAAAAGCAATCACAGCCAAATCAAGCTAAGTATATCCTTATAGGCTAGTTTACACCTAGAAGGTTGTAGGTACTTGTTTCAATTTCCCCAAACCAAGTGCAATGAAAATCAAAGTACTGCGCATTTTTGAATCAGTTTTGTACTGACATAAACTGAAAAGGAAATTACTGTGGTGTGGTCTGTGACCCAGTCTGGGTTTGGCTGCTGAAGCTGAACATGTCCCTGAGAGAGTGAAGGCATTCAGACACTTTATTCCTTACATACTTTATTCCTACCCTCTTTGCCCAGTTTTTCATGGTTGAATTTTCCCAAATATTTGACCAAAATCTGTTCCAACCTCTTGTTATCCTGGTCACCTGTCTCTGTATCATGCCACATATCCTGTGCTGTCCCTATACTGTCCCATTTTGCTCTGCTGTTCTGAGACTGGTTCTCTGCACACTGTGTTCATACTGAGGTGTCACAGCAGCTGTCAGTGTACTGGCCCATAATGCTCTCTGCTTTATTCTCTTTTATTTTTTTTCCCTAAAAATACTTGGAGTTTGTGACCACGTAGGAAAACTAAGCTGGGTTTCATAAAAATACTCAAGGATAAGGTTCTCAGTGTGAGAGTTAATTCATTACCTACCATTATGTGTGTTAAATTGCAATTATTTGTCTGCCTTCATTTACCCTGCTGCATTTATCAGCACGGATCTCCATCTGCTATTTCACCACGCAGCCCTTGTGAGCACCTTCTGCATCTTTTTGTCATTACCCTTGCCTTCATTATCCTCAGTAACTTAGCAAACTGTGTCACTTCACTGCTCATTCTCTTTTTCAAATCGCTGATGAATACATCCCCCTGGGACTTCATGGTGATTTTCTTCCAGTAAGAAAACTGACCATTAACTCCTACTCTCCATTCTATAAGGTGCTGCTGTGCATGGTAAGTGTGCAGAGTGGGAGGCTTCTTTATCTACTTACACTTTCTAAAAATTATTGCATCTAATTTATAATTATGTCTAATACATAAATGATATTTTAATGATATAAATATATTCCTGAGAAGATACTCAGCAATTATGCTTTCAAAATCAACTTCTCTTTTTCCTTTTATTGGAAGTATTTTAGATTTGCCCTCTGCTAAACCTTGACATTTTTGGTCTGCTTCTATTTTTCATGTATGTGAATCACTTGCTTTTCAATAGCAAACTGTCAGAGACTTGTATATTCTGAAAAGAAGCCAAGTTTCAGTATCATTATATTTACACATTCACCCTGAGGCATAATTGTTCTAATATACAGTTTTCATCCTGCAATTTAAAGGAAAGTTAGTGTGTCTTTCTGCCTTCCAGTAACTGTCACAGGATTTTCAGTATGCATTGGATAACACAAGACCTTTCCTGTTCCCATGGAAATCAATAGTAACACTTCATATCCATTAAACTCTATCAGAGATTAAAAAATGGGATCTAAATAATTAGGACCCATTTTTGTTTGATCTCTGGCTCATTTGAAATCAGGAGAACTGTTAGGCAGGGATGTGGAGGATGGGGTGTGTCGCTGTCGAGGCAGGATGGGAATGAGAAGACTGACCAGATAAGAAGGCTGTGAAAGTAAAACTCAGATTTATTCAAAATACACTGCTCTTTTATACAGAACTTCGTGAGGACCAACTCCATTGGTTCTGAAGTGAAAACAACCCAAAGCATTGGTGCAGAGTGCTTGATGCACAGTGATAGAACTTAACTATAAACAATGTGAACAACAAGAGAGATAAAGAATTATTTACATTCTTCTCCAGCTCTTTCCCAGGCTTCTGCCTGGATAGAAACTCTCAATTTCTTTCTTTGACTGAATCTGAGACCCACAGGGGTGCCATGAGCTAAAATTTTCAGGCAACAAAATAAAGGTGAAGTGCTGGGGTCCCACCCATTGGGACCCATCCTACACCCACCCCCTCAGCAGGCAGAGGTGCCACGCTGTGCTGGGGAACTCCAAAAAGGGAAAAAAAGGGAGTCCCAGCAGAAGACACCAAGCAAGCAAACCCTGTGCTTGCAGATGTGCTGGGTGAGAAGTTCACTGAATCCAGGCAGCAGAGACCTGAGCAAAAGTAAATTCTAGATTTTTTCCAGTCTCGTAGAGCATCTGAGCGCTGCTCAGCATCGTGACACCTATTTCAAAGTGTGATGCTTCCATAAGTACCAAAGGACCATTCCAGGACAGAGAGTAAAAGTAATGGAAATTCCCCATCCACATACCTGTTCTTCAGGTTTCTGCACCAGGGAGGGGTGCCTCAGAAATCCTTCTCTTAGGAGAGATTTAAGGCAGCTTCAATTCACTTCTCTGAAACAGTGAAGCCAAATAGCTGGCATTTTAGGTGTACTGTCATCATCTTTTGGTGGACAAAATAAATTATGTTTAGTTGAAATAAAATTTAGGAAAAAATAAGCGTATTTTCCATAAAAATCCCCCAGTTTTGAAAGATTTACAAGAGCTAGAGCATCACATACAGGATTAATCATAGACTGCTGTAACTACAAGTTACTATTTTAAAAAAAGTGAAGAAGAATTTGCCAGATTTACCAAAATCTGAAAGATACAGAAAGTTCAGAATCAACCCAGAAGCAATATGGCACAGTAAAAGGGTAGAAAGTACCATAAAAAATACAATAAGACTCAGTAAATTAAATTTATTTACCTCTCAAAGGAATATATATATACAAATATTGGTCACATACAGTGTATTCAGGAACTTGAGATGCAACCCTCACAGCAAGTGCCTTAGGATCACTGCAAGGTTTCTTGACAATGTTTTTTGACTCCAATGAAGGTAGTTTAAAGCTTTGTAGAAACACACAGCTCCTCTGCCTCCTTGCTGTGAGTCAGAGAGGCAGCTCTAAGTAATGAATTGTAACTGCACCCCATGCGGCTGCACCAGTCAACTCTTGCCATCTTCAATATGTTTTTAGTTGATTTCAAATGAACTAGTGTAAGTATAATTTCTAAAATGATGAATAGCCAGTTATTTCTCTAGCTACCCATTTCTTTATTTTGTATATATTTTTAAGAACTGAAACATAACCTAAGACACGCTGTCTAAAAATAAAATACGTGCTATGCACCTGCTATGCACATGAAGTAAAAATCAAATACTTTTTTTTTTTTACTGCATATATAGTGCAATTTTTTTTCTGACTTAATGAGTATCTAAAAAGAACAGAAGCAAGCAGGAAGGCACTGACTTGCCAGTCCACCTGACCCCAAACATAATTTTAAAACACCAGTCTCAATTCTTGCAGACATCATTTATCCTCAACTGTAACCCCATATACAGTTTTAATATTACTTGTGATTACAGTGTCCTTAACAAAAGGTAGAAAAAGTAAAATTTCCTTATAAATCTCTGAAGCAGAATAAAATAGTTTGCACTGAAAATTGGTATATAGGTTGGTATATAATTGGTATCAATTTAATTCTTCATAAAGCTCACTGTGACTTGCAGAATTTCAGATTTGTGGTTCTCCTTATGTTCTAGCCGTGCTTGGGATCCATAAAACTCTCAAATTTAGAAACTAGTGCTTCTGTAGAAGATGTTATCAGAAACTTTATTGTGAATGTTGCCAAACCATGAATAAAAGCCTCTAAATGTAAAATAATGACCTGGATATCCTGAAGGCATCATTGTATGGACATTGTAGGGCCGCTACAAATCCTGCAAAGCCTACAGAGCTAATTAAAAATTCTGTTCAATTGAAAAAAAAGCGTGACAGAAATAAGTAGCCATGAACAACCATTTCATTATTACATTGTGTTGATGCTCCATGAACTGGAAAACTCTTAGTAATTAAAATATTCCAAGACCACATCCCTACCTGACTAGCTCACTTTTTTTTTAACTGTCTAGCTCTCCAAGTTTTCATCCCTTAGTTTTTTTCCACAGGAAACCATTGATCCTGCAAGCTGTACCTTTTCCATTATTGAGCCTTAAAAAAAAAAAAAAAAAATCTGTATTTTACAAGTCTGCTTTTGTACTGAACAGGTCTAAAATAGGAGAACAAGTTATTAAAATAAGCATAATTGTATAAACAAAATGTTCTGCCTGTTCTTTAGAATGTATTACACCTATGAAACTACTAAAGGAAAAGAAAAGAGCACATTCTTAGCCCAACTTTTACCTTGCCTAGTTATCATAATATTTGTACAGTTGTAGGAGACAACTACAAAGAAGCAAAATAATTTAAATAGCGATTACTACCCCGATAGATTTCACAGATCTTCACTATCTTCTCAGTTGTCAAGTACATGGACCTATTTTGGTGCTCTGCTTTCAGTATTTGTTTTGATTTCTTTTCAACAAAATCGCTGTGAAAACAGATCTGTTTAAAAAGCTTGCAATACCATATGGAAATGCATTTTTAAAAAAACATACTTTTTTAAATAGGGGAGCCAAAATATCTGAAAGTCTGCTTGTATATGGCTATAAGGAAAAGCAAATGATAAAGCTACTGAGATGGAATCAATTTATATAAATATATCATTGTATGATAGGTCAGAGTATTTCTGGTAGCCAGAGAATAATTTCATTCTTCTGAGCCGATCAGTACCCCTTAAACAAAGCCTGTTACAAGGATCAAACCATAAGATAATCTCTTGAACTATAAGGTGTTTATAAGGGATAGGACATGTTGCAGTGGGTTGAATACAGCTTTTACCTGTGGAACAATCCTGGTGGATGTGAATAATGCTGTGCACAAATACAACAGAAGGAGTTACAAGATGGAAGCACAGTAAGCAAATCTGTGAGCAATATGCATCCACTCCCTATGCATTTTAAGTTATTCTGCTGAAGCTAGCAAGATAGAAAAGCAAGGAAAATTCTAATCCTGTGACTTTTGTCAACCTCTTTCCTGTAGTACCACTACTGCTGTAAAACAGGAGAAGCAGTAGGTATAAAGGAAAAATAGTGCCAGGTAAAATTTAGAGGGCTTTTTGCATCTGTAGTTTTTTCCAATAATTCTGGTGTGACTGAATTCACCAAAATGCCTTTTCAAGATCAAGTTGGAAGGCAATTCAAACATTTCCATTTGATTCCTGTTGAGTTCCAGAAGTAAAATAGGTTCAGGTCTTTTTGGATTTAATGGAAAGTATGGTTCAAACCAAGGCTACAGATGATCACATGAGATAATTCTGATTATCAAGAGCTTTATATTCAAAACATGAGGCAGACATCCTCTATTTGGTATTTCATCAGCTTCTTAACCTGGGTGCAAAGAAGGAAATTCAATTCCAGAACACTTCCCAGGAAAGCTTTGTATTTTCTTTATCTTCCTTTTATTATTTTTATTTTAAACTAAGGTAAAGCTTGTATGCATCGAACTTAGACATGTGAAGTTTTAGTACAGCAAACATAAAAGAAGTGCCTTTCAGTTTTGTTTCTTTTTTTCTAGGTAAAAGTAGATAAATGTCAAGAAAAGTCTTTAATTTTATATTCTAAAAAAGAATGATTTATGGGGAAGACAAAGCAAATTACTTACCTGTATTGGAGATTTTTGAAGGTAGTTCCTTGTATCTCTAAAGGTAACACTGAAAAATCTCTGATTATTCACCAATTTGTACTACAAAGTTAGGAGGCAGAAACTCCATTATTATTCTATTCTATGAAGAAGAAGAAGAAGGAGAAGAAGGAGAAGAAGAAGGAGAAGAAGAAGAAGAAGAAGGAGAAGAAGGAGAAGAAGAAGAAGAAGAAGAAGAAGAAGAAGAAGAAGAAGAAGAAGAAGAGACCATGAAGAGCATTAATCTTCAGAAACATGGAGAAAAAATGAAAAATATTCAACGTTACATTACCTATCTAAACCTCCCGGAAGTTTCAAATGAGAGAGAAAAGACAGGTAAAAGCTGCTCCTTCTGGAAGAAACCCTTCCAAATTCACAGAAACAGAGTTTTTAACAGCTTGGTGTCATTCCTCTGGATTCGTGGTCCCTTTGGTTCAGAGCCAGCCACATGTTTGCATCTTTTAGCATGTAAGTATGAGTCTGACCATTGGCATAACTGAGCTGGCAGGACTATGGATACTTTTTTGGGGTTCAGTGCTCTGAGCAGCCCAGGACTGCAGGAGTTGCTTTCAGCACAAGCAACAGCTTCAGCTCACTTAATTCAGCATCCTTCTGCCCACCCCAGTGCAGCACAATTTACTCACTGACCCTTAGATATTCCTGGACACCTCAGCATGGCAGAAAGATGCTGCGGGCACACAGAAGTTGGTGTAGGATGGAAATGTGTGCACACCAACCCAGAGGTAAGGATCACGAATCCATAATGCAGAAATTGAAATGCCATTTAGGAGCCCACAGCTGGAAAAGGTTAAAAGCAGAGGCGACAGAGAAAATGCACTGAAAGCAAAGTCTCACTGTTTCTAATTTATTGAGCACTGAATTATTATTTGAACATTAAAGAAAGGACTTTTAAACATTATCTAAGACAGTTTACACCAAATTTAAAAGAAAGCTATTTTCTGTCAGGTCTGATGAAGTTGATACCATAAAGAACTTGGTAGAGTTCCTTAAATTCTGGGCATGTATTGAAACTGAATTAAAGAAACAAAATCCAAATTATTTGTAGCCAAAAATTCTACAGAAAATCTTTAAGGGATCACCTGTTAGATAAACTGGCTCTGTAAAACTCTCTCATATACATGATCTTTCTTAACTCATACTTTTCTATCTTTCGTGTGCCCAACAAAATGTCTCTGAGTGTCTGCTTGAATAGTCCATTATTTTAATTGATTATCATTGGCGGCTAAAAGGAAGGTAAAATGATTGCACATCTCAAGAGAATATGATCTATATTTGTTTAGATCTGTAGAATTAGCTTGTCCAAAAAGGAACTGTTAAAAAGTCTACTAAAACCATAAGATCAGCTCCTCAAAGTGATACTTAAATCAATAACGTGTGCAACCTATTATTCTGATTGACATAAGCCTTGAGTAGTCTGTCAGCAGAAGGTTATGCTATGAAACATAATTAAAGAAACATAAAATTGATTACATATCTCAGTCTTGAAACTGGAAAGGATTTCTGATTATTTTTCAACTATTGAAGTGTTTCTCTTCTGTTTTCACCAAATCAGTAGAAAAATCTCTTTTGCAATTTTAACGTGTAACTCCAAAATTTGCTTTTATAATAAGAATGTACTTTTGCACCCTAACAAGTGGTTATGAATAGATAACTGATATTCTTTGAAAATACCAGTTTGAAATGTATGGTAATGAAATTCAGATGAATACTTCCTCATGCATTCTCTGCTTAAATTTCTGTATCTCTCTAAAAGTGCT